GGTTCTAATTTACCACCTGCCTAGGAGAGACAGGACTCTCCCTTAGGTGAGGACAGAGACAATTTAGCAAGTAGCCTCAGACTTGGGGGTAAGAGGTATGGACTCCAGCGTCCCTCCCCACTTTCCACTACTCTTGTGACTTTGGACAAGTTTCTTAAGCTCTGAATCTTAGTTTCTTTGGCTAAAATTGGGAGGGGCAATAAATAATAGTGCTCACCTCCTAAGGTTGCTTGAGAATTACATGAGATTACACATCATGTCTGGCCCTAGGAAGCCCTCTGTGAAAGTTGACTGGTTATTAACTTTCGCAACAATGTTGGGAGACATGAGGCTCAGAGATGGAAGCGTTCTCCAAGGTTGAACCCAGGTCTGCAGCCTCTGGTGGTCTAGGTAGCAGTGCACTGTGGCCTGTCCCCTATGTTCAGGACCTTAGGAAAGACTACTCCCCCAGGGGACCCCAGCTGTGGGAGGGACAAGTGTGCTGCCTACCAGGTGCCAAGCTGAACAGACTTATTGCAGGAAAGGAATCAGCTTTGCACCCTCCAAAGGGCAGTTAGAGGAATGGGACACCTTATGGCTGCATGAAGGCTGACAGCCTGGCAGCTCAGCTGAGCCTCTGCGGCCTTCTAGAGCTGCATTCCTGGGTGGGTCGCAAGACTGCAGCATGAGAACAAGTGACTCAGAGCTGTTGCTCCTGCACAGCACAGCACAGCTCCCATCTGGGTAGGGTCTGGTAGTTGGACCCTGGAGAGACAGTCCTAGGTGGAGGTTTGGGGTAGGAGGCCTGGGAAGCCATTATAATCCTACTGCTGCTAGGGCCGCCCACAGTGTCCCCATGTACCCCCTTTCTCCCGCAAGTCCTTATTCTTTCTGCCTATGGTAACACCCACACACTGCCTGGGTCAAGGACACTGAGTGGTGCCAACTCAGAAAAGAGGCAAAGGCTGGAAGGCAGCCAAGTGGCCCACGCGGGTCTCTGGAGTCCCCTCTTTCCAGCTCCTCTCCTTCATTGCACCTGATCTTTCTGTGGCCAAGGGCCAGGGGCCAAATTTGCTGAGGCCCCACCCATTGCTTCTCAACTGTAACAACAGCCCCACCAGGTGGCTACCTGACTCTACCTTCCAGCTTCCAAGAAGTCTTTTTTGCACTCCTTTAATTTTCAACAAGGAATACATACCTAGTGTAGAAAACAAAAAAAACAAACAATATTCTGGTAAGAAAAAGATAATTGCAGTCATTAAAAAACAAAACAGAACAAAAACAGACCCACAAAACTCTACCCAGCAACTTTCAGGCTTTTACACTTCAAGTACACAAACATTGTAAGGTGCTTGCACACACACCTTAAAAATTTATAGTGGTGTTTTTCCTGTTGGAGGTGTTTTGGTTTATAATTTCCTAGGCATGAAACAGAGTACGTTGTCATTTCTAACTGCTGTATGGCTTACCCAGTGTGAATGTGTCATTTTGAAATACTCATGTCTTTATTTGCTTGTTCAAACATAATTTAGAAGTGAAATTGCTCAGTCAGAAGAAAAGAACTATTTTTAGGATTTTGATATTTATTACCAATTTATCAGTGCACCAAGTTATCCATCTATCATATACCATGATCAGTGGCATATAAGATTGTCCATTTTCCTATAGCCCACCCAATATGGTATATTTACATTGTTTTAAATATCTTCCAATTTTATAGCAGAAAAAGTCTTGTTTTATTATTAAATCAAGTTTTGATTACTTGTGATTTGAACATGTTTTATTTATTAGCAGTGTTGTTTTTTTCTTTTGGCACATTGCTTCAGAGACATGTAAAATCTTCATGTATGAAAGTTTGTTACTTTCTTTTACATTTCATTTTTAGTGTAAGGCTTGTAAAACCCAGTATTTACCAGTATTTTCTAATATTTCATGTTTTCTTGATATATTTAATATTTTAAATATTTTTAACCCAATTTAACTGTATTTTGGATTAAGATGTGAACTATAGAGCTAGATTTTATTTATTTATCTATCTAATTAATTAAATTAATAGATTTTTTTAGAACAATTTTGAGTTTACAGAAAAATTGAGCAGAGAGTACAGAGAGTGCTCATATACTCCACATCCTTGTCAGCACTTGGTGTTGTCTTGTCAATATTTTGGATTTTAGTCATTCTAATAGGTATGTAGTGGTATTTCATTGTTGTTTAAATTTGCAATCTCTAATGACATATGATGTTGAACATCTTTTCATGTGCTTTTTTGCCATCTGCATATCTTCTTTGGTGAGATGTCTGTTCAAGTCTTTCCCCCTTTTTTTAATTGTGTAGTTTGTTATCTTGTTGTTGAGTTTTAAGGGTTCTTTGTGTGTGTGTGTGTGTGTGTGTATATATATTTAAAGATTTTATTGGGGAATTGGGGGAGGGGAACAGCCAAGTTGTTTTCCTTCAATCTTATCTGTGGAGGGTGCAGCAAGCTCAGCTCCAAGTCCAGTCACACCACTAAGCTCAAGATGCTGTGCTCAATTAGTTGTGGGTGGGCGTAGCCACCATACCATGCGGGAGTTGAACCAGCAGCCTTGTTGTTATGAGTGCGTGCTCTATCCCTTGAGCCACCTGGGCAGCAACTCGGCTCAAAATACTGAGTTCAGTCTTTAGTTGCGGGTGGGCGTAGCCCACCATCTTGAACAGGCAACTTTGTTGTTAGGAGCACATGCTCTCACCAGCTGAGCCACCCTGTTGGCAGCTCAGCGGCACCTCAGCTCAGGCGCAGTGTCACTGGCCCATGTAGGAATCAAACCAGCGGCCCTGTTGCTCAGAGCTTGCGCTCTTAACCAACTGAGGCACTCGGCCAGGCCTGTATATTTTTTTAATATCCGTCATTTATCAGAGATGTGTTTTGCAAAGAGTTTTTCTTACCTATGACTTCTTTTCATTCTCTTAAACAGTGTCTTCTACAGAGCAGAAGTTTTAAATTTTAAGGAAGTCCAATTTATTTTATTCTATTTTTTCTTTCATGAATTGTGATTTTGGTGCTGTACCTAAAAAGCCAAACCCAAGGTCACCTAGATATTCTCTTATATTATCCTCTAGGACTTTTACAGTTCTAAATTTTATATTTAGGTTTATTAATGAGTCTGAGTCATTTTTTCATGTAGATATCCAATTGTTCAAGAATCATTTGTTGAAAAGTCTACCTTTTCTCCATTGTATTGCCTTTGTTCCTTTGTCAAAAATCAGTTTATTTCTGTGTCCTCTATCCTGTCTATTGATCTACTTTCCTACTGTTTTTCTAATACCACAGTGTCGTGATTACTATAGATCTATAGTAAGTCTTAAAGTCATATAGTTTCAGCCTTTTGACTTTGCTCCTCTCCTTCAATATTGTATTGAATATTCCAGATCTTTTGTCTTTCCATATAAACTTTAGAATCAATTTGTTGATATCCACAAAATAAGTTGCTGGGATTTTAATTGACATTGTGTTAAATCTATAGATCAAGTTAGACAAAACTGGTATCTTGACAATACTGAGTTTTCCTATCTGTGTATATGGAATATCTCTCTATTTATTTAGGTTTTATTTGGTTTCTTTCATCAGAGTCTTATGGTTTTCCTCATAGAGATATTTTACATATTTTGTTAGATTTATACCTAAATAATTTCATTTTTTGATGCTATCATAAATGTTATTGTGTTTTTAAATTTCAAATCCTATTTGTTAATTGCTGACATATTAAGAACCAATTGACTTTTGTATATTAATCTTGTATCCTGTGACCTTGCTATAATTGCTTATTAGTTCCAGAAGTTTTTGTTGATTCTTTGAGTTTTTTGCATAGACAATCATGTCATCTGTGAACAAAGTTTATTTCTTCCTTCCCAATCTGTATACATTTTATTTACTATTCTGTCTTATTGTGTTAGAATTTCCAGTAGGATGTCGAATAGGAGTAATAAGAGGGAACACCCTTGCCTTATTCCTAATCTCAGTGGAAAGCTTCTAGTTTCTCACCGTTAAGTATGATGTTAGCTATATGTTTTTGAGGATATCTTTTATCAAGTTAAATTCCTCTCTATTCCTAGTTTGCTTAAAATTTTTAGCATGAATGTTCAATTTTGTAAAAATGCTTTTTTTAACATCTATTTATGTGTTCATATGGTTTTTCTTTTTTAGTCTGTTGGTGTGATCAATAATAACAATAATTGATTTTTGAATGTTCAATACCTAGAATAAATCTCACGTGCTTGTGATGTATGATTCTTTTTATACATTGTTGTATTCAATTTGCTGATATATTGTTGAGGATGTTAATAAATATGGTCATGAAAGATATTGGTGTGTA